TGCGTGTTGCCAGTGATGACTTACGGATCTGAGACGTGGTCCTTCACTGCTAACCGTATGAGGACGCTCTGCAATAATACAATACAATGTTATAAAAATATAATAATTATAATTATATATATAATATTATAATAATACAATACATAATACAAACTAAAGGAGTTCTCCACCTCACGTTGATATGACGGAAATGAAACATAAGTTTAGGGCTAATCATTAAGTTATTATATAAAGATCTTCCATTTACATCTTTACCTAAGCCATCAAAAACTATTCCCGTATACCTTCGCCTTCGTTGTCTCCATATCCTCTTTTATAACAGCGTGATATGGTAAGTGAATAGCTGGTATATCTCATTATTCCATTGATACTAGCTTCATGAGATTTAAGTTTAAATATTCGTCAAAATGTTATGAAACTCTACATTTATGTCAGAATTATTCTGTATAATCTTTTTTCTCTAGGGAAGCAAAGCTACGAAGCGCAATTTTTTTATTTTTCTCGTAAACATGGTGGATGTCCATTTCTAAATGAAAGTTGAACTATATATCTGCTATTATTTATCGTTCATACAAATATTTTCGATTCATACAAACGTTCACAATACTGTTCCGCGTTTGTTAAATTTTTCTTAGATAATTTTGATTCGGCTTCCAATTCCCAAAATGAGCGGATCAAACTATCTAGATGAACTTTACCAGTAAACTCACTACATTGGAGTAAGGTGTATTGTAATGCAGTTGTTCATTTAGCATTCACCCCAAAAATGTATTTTGAACTACCATAGTTTCTGAGGGGTATTTAAGTAGTCCTTCCATAATAATAAGTGCATATAATTCTGCCCCTAATATATGCCAATTTTATTAAGTTTTTGGAAATTTGGGTCTGCCAACTTGTGTTGTTTCAGCTCTGCCCAATGCAAGAGATGATCGTTAGTAGAAGGTAAGTATGATATCAACTTCTCTAACACATATGCCGTAAAATGTAGACATGAATTTTTATCGTACCTTGAATTAATTGTTAAATCTACTGTGGAATTGGGAACCGAACTCTTTTCTGCCCTTGACAGGAAACTATATCCTTTGTCTTAGTCTTTTTTAACCCGAGTAACTATACTGCCGACTCCATAATAAAGCTGGCCTGCGAGTTGATCTAGCGATGCTCGCATCGGTTGATAGTCATTCCTACGTTTCACGTTCAATAAAGCTGTAGCTGGTAAAACATGATGAATAGGCTCTTTCAACAAATTACTTGTAACATTTTGATGAGATTCATTTTCATTTTTTTTATTTTTACCGATTCCTCCTCTTAGAAACACTCAAATAATTATTGCTTTTTATTTGGATTACATATTTGAGAAGCAAAAGTGAATAATGTCGTCTATGACATATTTGGCGTGAGGTAGTTACACGGCACCGCTTTACTGAATTATTATTACCTAAACTCTTCAAGCATCACCTGTTTTATTGAACAAAGTTAAGTTTATCAAAACATTGAAACCTGAAAACTTTTTACAATTATTGATCCTATGATCACTATTACAATACCCACATGGTGATAGATTGATATGAAGTTTTACATGTTGTGCATTTGGACTTTTCATGTTACGTAAATTGCTGTAATGAGTTAAATGTTTTATTGTATCTTTTATAAGAAACTCCAAAGAATGGTATTTATATTCCATTTTTTTTTAAATTGAAAAAATATTGGTTATTCTTTCAACCTAGCTATTTTACTTATTACCGACTGCCATTGTTTTGGAGTTTCTCGATCCTGCTTAGAACGAACTATAAATTATTTAAGTCCTAAGAATCCGCAGTAATACTAATGATTTTAAACCTGTTGAAAGTATCAGTCATATTATCAAGCCATACTTTTATTGCAGTCACAAACTCTGTTATAACATGCCTTTGAGTAAAAAACCTTTTCAAAATACCATTTGCCAAAACTGTTTATTGTTATATCTTTCTTATAAAGTTATCCAACACTGTTCATAATTTTCATTTGTAATACGAGTGTGACGCAGTAAGCTCACGGATAACTTCGATGCCATTTTCGAAAAAGTGGAGCCAGATCGGCTTATTAGTATTTGACTACAAAACAGTTTTGACGCATTTGGAAAAGTATTGCTATGAAAAAAGCTCGATATTTGGGTATCTCACGAGCTCACTGAAAAAAAAAACTTAATAAATTGTGTGTTGTGCGTTTAATTTATATGATTTTTAATTTCCGACGTTTCGGGTACTTTCTAGCACCTGTCGTGACGGGGGACTGAGGGGACTGACGTCCCGATGTCAGTGTATGCCAGAGTATCTTCAGCTTTTTAATTATAATTTATGGGCCGATCTACGCAGAACGAACTTACTGCGTCTTGAAGTCTTGCAGTAGTATGCTTGGATTTAGTTTTAATTTTATTAATTACAGGGTCCCAAGCAGATGGTAGTACCCAGCCTCCTACTCCATAGAAATTAGGATGTTTTTAATGTCAATAGCCTCACGTATCATCCTTGATGCAAATCGATGTTCTTTCGCGAGTATTTGGTGGTCTATCAAATCAGATGTAACGGTTGGGGCTGTATAGGATACGTTAAGAAACTGCAGGTTTCCCGAAACGTTGATACTTCACGTCAGCTATATGTTCTTTTACACGGTTTCTAATTGATCTTTTTGTTTACGCTATATATGAGAGAAAACATTCACAATCAAGCTTGTACACTCCTGCATCTTGTGGAAGAATATGACACTTGATGGGTTATTATCCATCAAGTGTCATATTCTTGCAAGCCGCCGATGAAGATTAGTCAGTTCTTATTGAACTGACTAATCTTTTTCGGTGGCTTGTAGAATGGTCTAATAGAAGCTCGTTTCAAGATGTAGCTAATCTTGTCCGTGACTCCTATGACATTTGGTAGTACAGAAGGCATACGCTTGACTGTGGTCGGCTTCGCTCGGTCGGTGTTTTTACGCGAAAATTTAAAATTATAAATTAAAACTAATTTTATGACACTATTCCGTTTTTAAAAAAATGTATACAAAATTATAGCGGTTTATTACCTCTCTAGGATTAATTTAAAACACTATTTGAAAACGGGTGTAGTACACTACTTTTTACTATTTACTACACTACTACACTATTTGAAAAAACCATTTTGTAAACCAAAACTTTTTGGCCGTTTGCATTGGCTAAGAGTATTAATTTTACAGTTTGTTACCATATATATATTTACACTATATTGATGGTCGTGTCCGCTTTTGTCATAGTGACGTTCTCCTAATGATATTGTACTAAGGATAATCTTGCGAACAGTCAGTCTTGAAAATCCTTTTATACCTGTTTGCAAGAATTATTATAAAAAGTGTGCTGTGTATCATATTCAATGGTCTCAGTTGTTAGACAACTTTTTCATGTATCTTACTATAAACTCGCAGTATTTTTTATGGTCACTTATATTTGAAAACTTGATAAACGGGTACAAACTTTGTTCTATTTGGAATATTTCAGTGCACTTATAGCAGAATTTATGTCCACATGTTTATATTATGATATATCCTGTTCTTTTCATTCTCTGATTCCCTTTTTGAATCACGAAAACCTTCTTCATTGTGTCTTCTTTATATTGGAGTCATTTTTTGCATTGATCTTGTTTATGGTTGGCGCTGGGACTCCCCAGTACCCGTTCCTTACATTTGACCACATCTAGCGCGGAGCGGCTCGAATCGTCGACAACCGAGTGCTTTCCGATAGGATCGATTTACTGGCGCCGCGAAGGGATGTTGCATCCCTTTGCATTTTCTGTCGCATCCGCCACGGGGAGTGCTCTGAAGAATTTTTCGAATTAATCCCAGCCGCCGAATTTCATGAACGCATATCGCGGCCAAACTCCAGATACCATCCACACCAGCTGGATGTTTGGCGGTCCACCACTGTACGTTTCACTGGGAGTTTTCTTCCGCATACGACCCCTCTGTGGAATAGTTTACGACTGTTCAAATAAAATCAGGTGAGCGGTATGCTCGTTTGCTAGTAGGTTACTTACTATACTTGAAGGTATTAATATTGCAGAGTTCTACAAATATTTAATAAATTACACAAAGCCCGTAATGAGCAGTAACTGGAGTTGGTACTGGTGTATCAAATCTTGTAATAATATTAAATGTTTCAAACCCTGCGAGTTTTAGCGAAATCTGTAGAAAATTGAATATTATGGACTTTATTTTAAATCAAAAACTTTTTCTAAAATATATATTGCGTAAGACTAATAAGAAGAATATATGTTGCATGATATGCCAATATTTACTATAAAGAAAATAGATATGATTTTAAAACATTACATAAAGTAAACTCTTGGCATTTTCTGTTTTATAAAGTACAAGAATTTTAAAACATCCAGGCTTATGATGAACAGCTAAACGGCTAACGTCGACACTAATTCGATCATCGGTGATCACAATAACACAACTATCACGCAGATTTTACTGAAATTCAAACAGTATTTTCTCGATATGGACACTTTTGGCAAACACCATACATGTCCTCTTTTTTCCCCTCCCGGACCTCTGAGGAGTTCAGACGTGTCTAAGGAAATCCGTATTGAATTTTTATTTCGAAATTTAATTAAAATTTACACTCAAAAATAGTTGTGAAAAAATAAGATATCATAAACTGTGAGGAGTTCTTCAATACGACCGAGTGGCGGGGACTGGGGTGAGTCATTTCCCTACCCTACTACATAGGAAACGGCAACTACGTCACACGTGCTTGACCCGCCCACTACTCCTGCGCATCGACCAAGGGGGCGGCGCCTACGACCCGCGCGCTATTGGTTGCATCGTGACGTCTTCGCGTCCAGCCCACAACTAACTCGCATAGAAGCTGAGGGCGGTGATACCTGACTAGTGGATGAGTGAACTCCTTTGCTCTTTGTATTTTCTGATCGCCTGGTACATTTGTTCGCTCGAGTCGTCGATTATTATTTACATATTTTTCGAGATAAGTAAAAATGTCTTGCCACGGGTGTAGTTCTGCGCTAAGAGAGAATAATTATTTGAAATGTAATGGTTGCAAATCAGAGTATTGTTTCGCATGCCTTAACTTAACTGATGATTCAAGTAAGTTACTTACACCGGAACAAATAAAATCATTAAGTTGCCCCTACTGTCGGAACGTCACGCGGCGCATAAACAATGACGACACGCCTTGCCGCCCGAGATATCAAAAAGGGCAGGCGCAATCGATAAATGTTTCTTTTTGCGACGTGACTCATAACAACACTGCTAATACTAGTGTTGGTATCTCCACGGACACCGGGCTAGCAAAGGAACCCGTTACGATGGAAAGTATTAGCAAACTTTTTGACTTAAAGATGGCGCCAGACTCCACAATTATGATAAATTTGAGAGCAGCACTTAATAAGGACATCGAAAAAATGGTGGCTGTGCACGTCAACAGAGCAATTGAGAACTTGAAGACTGATTTCTCATCTACCACGGACTATTTGGCCGCTGAGCAAGCAGATTTAAGATCCGAGATTAGACAAAAGGACAACCTTGTTAAGCAGTTGCAAACTGACATATCAAAATGTCAAAATTCACTTGCTAAATATCAGTCACGAATTCAAACTATTGAAAAAAATCTCACGCGACATGAATATTGAGGTACATGAGGTGCCAGAGAACAAAAGTGAAAACTTACCTGGCATATTCAAAAAACTCTGCGAGTGCTTGCAGGTTGACATTCCTGAAAACGATGTAAAAGCCTGTCGTCGAGTTTCGAAAATGAATCCTTCGTCTGGGCGACCACGCAATATTCTTGTTACCCTTTCATCTCAGAGACAACGTGATTTGGTTCTATCGTCGGTCACTCGTTTCAACAAAGCTCATCCTAGAGATAGACTCGCCTCTACACACATTGGCTTTACGGGAGAAACCCGCAGGATTTATGTGGCTGAACACCTTTCGCCAGAAACAAAGGAAGTGCACAGTGTGGCGAGGAAATTTTGCAGAGACAATAATTTTAAGTATGTGTGGGTTCGTTTCGGGCAAGTGTATATACGTAAAGATGAACAAAGTCAAGCACAGCACATCAAAACCATTGAATGTCTCAACAAGCTATTATAAAGTTTATTGTTTTCTCTCACTATAAAAATAGTATTTGTATACTGATTCCTACAAAAACATTATGATTAGTATGTATTATCAAAATATTAATGGAATGCGAACTAAGTTATCACAATTTTATCGAAATCTGTTGAATTCCAACTATGACGTCATATGCCTGACGGAAACCAACTTGAATAATAATATCTTCGATGGAGAGGTCGTTGACTCCCGCTATAACATCTTTAGAAGAGATCGCGATGACATTAACTCTTCTAAAGAGGACGGTGGTGGCGTCCTTATAGCAGTAAAGAAATCATTCCAAGTTCTCCGACAGGCATATTGGGACAGTAATTTGGAGGATCTCTGGATATCAATTATACCGAAAAATTGTAAGGCCCCTAAAATAAATATATGTGTCTGTTACCTTCCTCCCGAATTAAATTGTTTTAAGAGAGATGAATTTTATTCTAATTGTCAAAAGATATTGTTGAATCACTGTATAGATGACAAAAATATAATCGTTGGAGATTTTAATACACCTGAATATTCTCCTGTCTCTTCTGATACTGACGGGCCATCTTTCACCTCACAAAGTAAGAAACTACTACTCTTACAGGAATTTATGTCAATTTGCAATCTTCACCAGGGTAACCGCACCCCTAATGAAAAAGGCCGATATCTTGACTTAGTACTATCATCAGAAAATTTGTTGACAGTTACAGAAGCTGATACGCTGAGTTTGAAAGATGGACACCACCCTGCTTTGGAATTTGAATTCCCCTCTTTATGTAATACTCCAAAAAATCTAAAACTTAATAACAAAAAACGTTTGAACTTCGCAAGATGTGATTATGACAGCATAAGACATGACTTGGAGTTATTGGACTGGCACAATCTTTTATCGAGCTCTGATGTAGATGAATGTGTAAACATTTTTTATGAACAACTCTTTGTAATTATTAACAAATATACGCCATTAACAGCTATGAGATCTAATAAATATCCCGTTTGGTACAGCAAACCCTTAATAAAATGTATCGAAGAAAAAAATAAATACCACAAACTTTATAAAAAATTCAACAATCCCCGAGATTACGACGTGTTCACTTTACTGCGAGCTAGAGCCAAAAAAATGATAGATCATTGTTATAAAAATTATGTTGCCTCTATTGAAGAATCAATGACTGACAATATAAAGTCATTCTGGACTTATGTGAATAATAGAAAGGGCCGAGTCTCTATTCCAAATGTAATGCAGTTTGGCAACTCTTCTTCTTCGACCGGCCAGGGTGTATGTGAGCTATTTTCAAAGTACTTTGCTTCGGTGTTTGAATCGGATCAGCAACTTAGTAACTCCTCTGCTGCGAGTAACAATAATCTAGAGTCACCTGAGTGTAGTACCATGGACTCCATGTCTCACATTAATATATCTGACAGGGACATCATGACGAAGATCAAGCTTCTTGATGCAAGTAAAGGAGCCGGTCCTGACCAAATACCTCCTTCATTTGTTAAACGTTGTGGAAAAGAGCTATGCACACCATTAAGCATCATATTTAACAAATCCCTTACGAATGGAGTTTTTCCCAGTCGTTGGAAGATAGCACATATTGTACCCATTTTCAAAAACGGAGACAAGTCGCGCTGCGATAATTACAGACCCATAAGTATTTTGTCATGTTTCGCAAAGCTTTTCGAGTCCCAAGTACACACTCAGTTATACAGCCATTTTAAGCCTCTGATACCCGAAAATCAACATGGATTCATTAAGGGTAGATCAACTGTCACAAATCTTCTTGTATATAAAAACTACCTGTGCAAGGCTTTTGCCACAGGGGGTCAGGTTGACTCTATCTACACAGATTTCTCGAAGGCCTTCGATAAAGTGAGTCATAGACTACTTTGTAACAAGCTCGCCACCTGTGGTATTCACGGTAGTCTCCTTCGCTGGTTGGCCTCCTATTTGAATAAGAGAAGTCAGTTGGTGGCTTTGAGAGGATACACCTCGACCCCTACTGACATTACGTCAGGCGTGCCCCAGGGGTCACATCTGGGCCCGTTGTTATTTGTTGTCTTCATTAATGACCTCATTAAGAACATATCATGTGAATGTCTATTATACGCTGACGACCTGAAAATATTTAAAACAATAAACTCTTTCGAAGACTGTAATCTTTTACAGAAAGACTTAACTGCTGTTTCTCACTGGTGCAGAAATAATCTAATGTACCTTAATATAGACAAGTGTTTCGTTATTACGTTCACTAACAAGCGTAATGGGATCGTTAATGAGTACAGCATCAACGGCCAGACCCTTGAGAGGTCACATGTTGTCAAAGATCTCGGAATCCTTTTTGATGATAAGCTGACATTTCGCGAACACTACCACCACATAGTGAAAAAAAGCGAATCAACTTCTGGGGTTTATTTTTAGATCTACTAAAGACTTCAAGGGCACTCATTCTTTTCTTTACCTTTTCACTACACTCGTCAGAAGCGTTTTGGAATACGGTAGTCCAATATGGTCTCCGCACTACAAAGTTCATATTGAAAATATAGAGAGAGTGCAGCGCAAATGCCTACGGATTTTAAGCTACCGCCAACAGTCGAGGCGCAAAACTCCTGATTATGAAGCTCGTCTCATTAATTTTAATGTACAAAAATTGGAAACACGTCGAAGATATTTTGATTTCGTTTACTTTTATAAAATACTTCACTCCATATTAGACGTTCCTACCTTGCTCGCTGAGATAACTTTTAATATCAAATATAGTGCTCGTAGAGCAAATCAAATAGCACTTTTTACTTTACAAGTGTATCAGAATAATACCTCCTTTTACAACCCCCTGGTTAGGATGGCTCGTCAGTGCAATGAAATAGCCAAGGGTAACCAAACCTTTGACGTTTTTCTACCTAAACTAACTCTTTATATTAATTTGATTAAAAGCATACTGTATCACAAGCCGACAGTCTAATCCCAGCGCTTGGACTCTCGGTCTCCTTATATTTTAACCCTATTATATTCTTATTTAGTACTGTTCTTTGTACCTATTATTTAGATTACTGTTCTTGTTAAACCTTAAATTGTGTAGACATATTTAACTCCCTTGTAATTTTTCATGTACACACATTTTTGTGGAATGCAACCTAGTTTATAAATGATTGTTTTTGTATAATTTGTTTAGTAATAGTTGTAATCTGTTGTGTGTGATAATAAATAAATAAATAAATAAATGTCCTGAATTTAAAAAAAAGTAAGTTATGGCATATCTGACGACCGTAGTCCTCGAGCGTGGAAACTTTTTATAGAACACCCACATTGATATTTTCTAGTCACACATACGCATTGCACAGTGTTGGTATACGCACCCTGGACATGAATAAATTACTTTCAGTGCTTCGCACAATTATATTTTCATCACGCTTTCTTCTTCGTAGGGTGTTCATAAATTTCACAGAAAACACGCGTTTGCAATTTAGCATAGCGCATAGCGAAATCCGTAGGCCCGTAGTGAGCAGTCGGCGGCAAAAGGTGGGGTCGAAGTGTACGCTTTCTATGTATTATATTAACTATTTTATGGTCGTAGCACGAATGGGTTGCCTCTACCGGGGAAGGACCACGCTCTTACAGAATACCAGCGTAAAATAGCAACTTAATGCTCCTGTGTTTTGTATGGTGAGTGTAGAGAACTGAAGACCCTTTTTACTGGAAACGAGGCATTCGATCTTAGTCCTCAGGTGTAACTTCGCATCTGCGTTTTGACTCTTAATCGAAAATAAATGTAGATGTCTACGGGCCACAGCATCCACTTACCATCAGGTGGACTGTGTGCTCGTTTGTCACCCTTATTCTATAAAACATACTATTATTTTTTACTTATAAATTATGAAGAAATTTAAAATATTATAAATGTTTTATAAGGTATCGAAAATGTGATATGTAAATTACATGATTTTTTTTTAAATATAAATGTTAATACAGACTAAAACAATTACAGCGGTTTGAACAATTTATACAGTTGTAACAAACAACCCGTTAATCGTTTCAGGGAAATATAGGTGTAAACATAGGCATGGCAATTATGGCAATGGATTTTTTTTGTTGCTATAAATGGGATTTTAGTGTTTCTGATCAAAAATAAATAAATGCAAGTAACATTTTTAAAAAGGTAAATTTACTATTTTATAAAATATTACTTGCATTTGAACTAACCGACACGTCAGGACGAAGAAATTCAATAACCGAGAGCCAATAAAAATGCCTTGGAAAAATTTGTTGCCTCCCGTCCAGTGGTTTTTTCAACCAAAAGGGTATCAATAAACTGCCGCTGTGTTGCCAAAAATGCATCGATTGCATGGGTGATTGAGTAATAGAAATAAAAAATAAAGAAAAAAATTGCGTTTAATTATTTCATGAAAAACGACAAGTTCATATTGTGACGGCCCATTATTATTGTAAATAATTAATTCTTATACAAGGTCGTCAAAAAGTATCTTAGGAGAAATATATTAAACAATAAAAACACGTTAATAAGCATAAATGTAAAATAAATAC